CATATGGAACTGGCTGCTGCGCGAGTTTACGCAAACACCGGGGAGTAAATAGTTTCTCCCTGCGCGCATGTATATCTCGTTGTGTTCCGCGAACCTTTCTCCTCTCCACCTTGTCGAGCGGCTGTTTCGCGCGCGAGTTCTCGTCGAATCAGCAATTAAACTACGGAAACGAAACTCGCCTTCCCGTGCATAAATCGCGTATAGAAACTGGCCACGCACAGAAGAACATCCGGCGCGGCGTTCGGTCGATGATGATGACCTAAACACTACCATCTCTGATCGCGCGCGATATCGAACCGGCGCGTCCATCTTGGAAACGCTATCTGATGTGTAACGCACGTTATCTTCGCGAATATTCTCTCAACGCTTACGTCGGGGGACAACGCATTAAATTCGCACGGGTGTTCCACAAGTTTTTATTCAAAAATATATATTTTTTTTCTTAAATCGTTGGTCAAAAATACAGAACTTTTAGAAACGATCGTAAATAAATTCGAACAAAGATTCTTTATGTCTACAATTAATTCTCGGGAGTGAAAAAGCGTGAGATTTATGTCTCTCGCGCGAGTACGTGGACAGCTCATTTGCGAATAGTTTCCAAAAGCTCTCATCTATGGAAAATCGATGCGAGCGGAAAGGGTGGCCGACCCTTACAGGAATGGAGGGGAGAAGAGATGCCCGAGGGCCCTCGGAGAACTCTCGTGTAACATCTTGATTAAGTGGCGGTTTGCACCCTCCGGGTGTCGAGGGGGCGGGAGAGGTCGCCCTCGTAAAACAGAGTCCCAGCGCCCACATTTCCAATTGGCGCATTAAGCAACGATCTGTAGCCGCGAGATCTGATTTATTCGAACGCATAATCGGGTGCCGCGGTGAACAAGAAACGGGTTTCAACCTCCGGTAAACTCGGAGACGTATTATGTTTCTTCTCCGCGACGCGCGCGATATTTAATTGTTCCGCGCACTTGGCGCATTAATCAGTTTTATAAATGTTTCAAGTTAATCTAATGATATATAGAAGAGCAGAGAGAGAGAAAGAGAGAGAAAGAGAGCTATTATGTATCTTCATTTGAAGAGCAAGAGAAGCGCTCACGCGTATAATTATTCTTATCATATCTAATGCAGAAGCTCGTACGGGGCATTTATATCGACGTCGCGTTTTCGGCAGCGAATTATTATTCATGAAAATCCCTCTTCCAGGATGCTCCTGGCAACCTCGGCTGCACGAAGAGAGAGAGAGAGAGAGAGAGAAAGAGAGAATCTCTGGGACATGGATTAAACCGCTCCGGGATTTTCGTCGAGAGTGTATTTATTACAACAGGGGAGGCGAGAGAAGAGGGGGAGTTTTGCCGGATGTTATGGAAGAGCGTCGTGCATACTCGAGGAGCGCGCGCGATCCTTCTTTTTGCTCATGAATATGGATTTGCTTCGGCAATGAGCATGAAAGCTTAATAACGAGAAATTAGCGACTGCGCGCTGGAGAAAAATCTACCGAAGATCGAACCGCGTCATATTTACTTTACGGACTTGGCAACGTCTTCTTTACGACGTCCTCGAAGTTTATCAGAAAAGAAATTGTAACAGGATATTTCTGTGTATAATCCTCATCTTTGCCTTGCAACTTTCTTAAGAATTCCGCTACTTTCAATCGGCATAACAAATTTATGCAAAGACAGTCGTATATTTATTTATATTTTCTTACAGCATATCGGAAACGCGCTGATAATTCCCGCGATCTTTCTGTTCTTTAATTAATTCTTCGTTAAAATTAATATGTTGCTTTTGAACGTTCTTCAAATAAACGGAACTCTGCGATATTATTAGGTCAGCGCGACAACTCAATTTACGCGAAGAGATAATCGACTTCGTCGCAACAAATCTCTCCTCCGTGACGCGGGTGATTTGAAATGATTTCGTCAAATAATCTTTTGCACACACACACACACACACAGAGATAAAGAGAGAAACACCTCTGTCCCAAACTTCACTTAATGCATAATCATAAATTCACGTCGCTCCGATTTCTGGTCGGGGCAATAAATTCAACATCGTGTCACTGATAAAGTAAAAGCGATAACACAGAACGTGTGTCGCGCTCGAACTATACGGTCGCGCGAATTATCGATTCCGTGTCGAACGAGAAACGCGGAGCTCGATACGTGTGTACAATCGAGCACATCGCAACAACGGCCGAAATTGCGAATTTGTAATTTGCGCCATTGACGCTTGGCGAACGAATTTCACTTCGTCCGGTTTAATTTCCAGGAGAGCGGGCGGCGGTGAGTTTATTTCACCGGTAATTACGTCTGTCGTACCGGGCCCCCGGTGTTTATTAACGCTGACTTACACGCGCGATGATAATGACGCTTATATACGCGCGCCGTTTATACACACGGCCCGGTAAATTCATCCGCTAAATTTCTCCGGTATCAAAAGCCGCGGTGTGCCCAAAGTACCGTGACAACCGGTCCCGCCGGATATTGCCCGCGGGCGTGACACGTCAGAACCGGGAACGCCGCCCCCGACGGAGAGAATGACGGCGCGTGCGAGTGACACTGACCGATGAAATTAGCGAGTCTCTCACGGAACTCCGATCGAGAAGTCGAATGAACCTTACATTGCACCTTGAACATTCGCCCGACAGGATTTCAAATCTCGATCTACGTTAGTAAAATGCAATTGCATGAAATGCAATTTTTCTTCTCCACTGTTTGATTTAAAAAAAAAAAATTAAATTTCTCTCTGCGTCAGTTGCAGATGTTCGATGTAAATGCAAGTAATTTTTCGCTACTATCTGAAAGATTGTAATAGTTTTCTCAATTGCGCGATTACACGAAAGAGAGTTCATCGTCGCGAAAAGTGCAATAAATAAATAGTTGCAAAACTATCTGGCAGACTTGGTTGCGATCGGGGTCAGTCTTGAAGAAGCAAAGAAGTTTGGCAAACTCCGCGGCACTGTTGCGTGTCGTCGGACTTTCTCGGCTCAAATCGCCTCTCTTTTATCCTGTCAAACTGTCTCTCTGAATTCTTTTGCAACGCGGCGCGTGTTCTAGTTCTATTATTTATTTATTTGTGTTTTTTTTTTCTGTTCTATTTCCACTCTCTCGATACTCCAATAAATCAATCAAGTTCGTCAAAGGAAATCAATTAATTTTCTATCAAAGAGAGAAATCTTCCGTCGCGTTTATAATTCGTCGCGTTAAGTAAAACGTTCTATAAATATACGCGCGAAAGTAACGGAATTAAATTCAAAAATAAATTGGATTTTCTCTAATTGAACGTCTGGCGAATGATGTCACCACGAGGTTCAAGTAACAAATCTATGCCAGCACGAAAACCCACGTGCCAAGATTCTATTTACGAAATCCATTCAAGCGGAAATAATCCTTCGTGTGCCGCGCTTCTTCAAGCACAATTCGCGACTAATCATCAAATCCTCTCAAGGGAAAACCCTAGGAGAAATAATACAATTAAAAAAAAAAAAACAAATATATTACAGTGAAGAAAAAAGTGTCGTGTTTTTTTCTGACAAATAATTGCAAACGCGGTAAAGAGAGAAATGTAACACAGAAAATCGTAACTCTGTTTATTGCCAGTCTTAAAAAGAGCATTACGTTATCTCGCTTCTAAAAAATTTTTATATGACTATACATAAAGCTGGTTAGGTCTTTGGATAAGTGTCGATTACCACGACACGAATTTCGTCACCTCGAAGTAAATTACAGATCTCACTGTCTCTACACGGTATTAAATTTCTTGCAGCTTGTCGTCAAGACTTTGTATACGTTATTACGTCTCCGATATATCGCTCGCAATTCGCCACTTCTCCCGCGGGTGAAAATTACGTCGTCCATTAAGTTGCAAATCAAAAACGTTTTGCGGACGCGACACTGAACGCCGCAATTTGCTCACGTTTCCAACCCGGAGGGAAATCACTAGGTGGTGTATCCATTATGTGCATATTGCGAGAGCGAGAGCGAGAGTGAGAGAGAGATTGTGAGAGATATATGTCGTGTGTAGTAACATTAGCGAGGCGTTAATGGTCGAAGGTGGTGTACCTGCGACGAACACATACGGTGCTTAATATGATTGACAACACGAACTAGTGATTATACACCGAGTTTCTCTCGCAAGAATTAAATACGTTCCTGCTTGAAACGTATTGGGTGAGTGCAAAAAAGTTTTGATGAGTAAAAAAATAGACCAAAGTAATTTGATTAAAAACGAGATTTATTTATTCTACCGAGTGATTCCTATTGTTTTCTATTAATATCTTGCGCTATTGTGTACTTGGTAGAATAAAAATACCATTTTTTAATCAAATTATTTGGTAATCCATTTTTTTCTATCACAAAATCCATCAAAACTTTTGCACTCAATATCGGAAAAAAACTGGATAAGTTTAGTTACTGACCAAACAAGCGTCGTTCAAACTCACAATTTGCCGGCCAGCGAAACTGGTCGGTTACTGATGTAATTTCTGCTTGTGGGGTGAGGATTAGCGCACGACGAGAACGTTAATCGTAACGCACTTTACGCGGGGACGCGATTATTTAAATCCGAGGTCTCTCGGTGGATTGCGCATGTGATGAAACCGTCGAGTCCGCCAGAATAAACGTTTATTCTAAAGGCGACACCGGTCCTCGTTTCTTGAGAAATACGAGGAACGTAAACTTAACCGTGCAAGATTGTGGAAAGAAAAATTGCCAGAACGAGATATCCAAAAAATAAAATAAAATCAGAGTAAAAATAAAAAAAAAACAATAATAATTGTCAGTACTTTTCGAGACAATTTTAATATTGGTTAAAAGCGACAACATCGTTTTAAAATAGCGTCACTGTGTAAGGCCAAGTAGATTCGCAAGAAACGAGAAGGCACGAACGTTAAATATAAAACGAACTCATAGACGTGACGTTTTTGCGCCCCCTCATCGCGCCGAGCATTGACACGAAATCGCTTCGCCTCGCGCACGTCCTTAACCTGAATTTTTTAATGAAATTACCTTTCAAGTTCCAGGTCGATAAGGAGCCGGAAAGAGTCCTGGCGTGATTGGTTACGGCCAGCAGAAGAGGTGTGGCCGCGATGTGAAAAGATTTCGACTTCTGCATAAAATGTTTTTGCACCGTGTAGCTGCGTGTTCGCCGCCGAAACAGCGGCGAGTCGAGAAAGCTGTCGTCGTACTGCGGCATTGTTTCTTTTTTTTTTTTTACAGAACCACCACCACAACGAGAACAATTGCCGCGGCTGATATACTTTATTTTCGCGCTCGACTTCGCGTTGTTGCTCGCGGCATAAAATCAAACAATCGCATTTTTCAATATGATGCACGTTTTTTTTGTTTATGACGCACTTTCACTGTTCGATCGTACTTTCACTGTTCACGGTGCAATCACAAATGATTTACCGCGCTGTTCTAAATGACAGAAGCATCGATAAGTGTGACAGTCGCGCGATGACGAAGAGAAACGTCAGAGGAACAAAACGTTCGAATTGATACAATATCAGTAAACAAAGTTTCAAAATTGTTTTTAAAAAGAGAAATATCAAATTTTGTGTCGCGCGCGCGCGTTAACGAAGAATCATGTCGCTCTTGATTACTTCGCGTGAATGTTCTCTCTTTCCGACAAGCATCTTTTCCGCCGAGAGAAATCGTCGTTCGATCGCTCTTGTATCATTCAGGTCTCGGTTTTGTTTTGCGGGAGACAGAAAAGCGAGACTTGCCTCTTTTTTTTTTTTTGCGGACGCTGTATCAGATGACAGCGAGACCACGATGGACAATATCGAGGATCACAAGCTTGGGTGACTCTGAATGCATCGTAGCGTAGTCAATATCGCTCCATAAAAATATCGCTCTCGCGACAAGCAGGTTTCTATCAGAAACGGATAATCGACTCGCGGACGATAATTCGTTTCGTTGTTCGCAAAAAAAAAAAAAAAAAAAAAAAAAAGAAAAAAAGAGAACCTTGATGTATCAACACACAGCTGGATATGAACGAATTACACGGTCCATTCGTCCGTGTGTTTTTCAGTCCGGCTGACAATGTCGAGACACTAATTGAGCGATAAGTAAAAACCGATAAATATATATATATATTATACGCGACAATTTAACCCTCGGTTGTTTCAGATAACAAGCCAGATTCTGCGTGACATTTTTTCCCCGCTCGTAACACACGGAGGAAAAACCTCGCGATATTTTTCCACACGTATCCTGAGAGCCATTTTCCCTTTTGGAGAATTTTTCTTTCGTAAATTCCACAAAGTGAAGAAAAACAATTTAGAGGCGAGTTTATTGGAACGCGCGTGTTATAATTGGAAGATAACGCGCGCGTCGGGGAAATATTTAAGCTAGGTGTTATCTCTCAAAACAATTTCGGTTTCCCGTAATCACACAAACAGAATCACAACACGTGACTGTGTACACAATATATCGGAATATACGTAATGCAATTGCTGCAGCACCTTCACCGATGTTATCGCGCAATCTCCTCGATAACTCTCGCGATAAGCGTCGAGGGCAAAGATTTCCCGTTCGGAAATCTGTTGTGAGAGACTAGATCGGCTGAAACCGATGACAGAAGACCTAAATATACACATAAACGCGGCGCGATATATATCGCCACCGCCGCCGCCGCGACCTCGAGTGTCGTACCAGATAGCGGCGCTACTACAAGGCGTCGGTTTTCAGAGTGTCTATTTTAACACGTCGGATGTTCTTCCGTCACGATTTCTGCGTCCGTCGCTTCCGCGTCGTCGTGTCAAGAGAGAGAGAGAGAGAGAAAGAGAGAGAGAGAGAAAAAGACGTCAAGTTTATATCGCGACGGCCATTAAACGTGCTGTGTCGTGACAAAACGATAGCTTTCAAAGCGCGTATCCATAATAGCGGTGAAAATTTCTCTCGCAAAGTTCACGTTGACTTAACAACGTCAACTTACACCGCAAACCCTTTTCTCCTCCTCTTACCAACTCTTGGCCTGCAACTTCGTAATTATTCATTTCTAATTCACTGCGCTTCTGTTCTCTCTCTCTCTCTCTCTCGCGCGCGCGCTTCTCTCTCTCTCTCAAGTTATAATGAAAGAGACAAGGCGAAATCTTCGTCAACCTCGATCAATATTTATGAGGCAACTATCCGCGAACTCTCTCGTGGTGTTGTCGTCTAATGCATACGTGTCGATATATATTTGCGGCAAGAATATCCATCAGGAAGAAAGGAGAGTATCGTCGTTGTGTTCCTTGAGGTATCAGCTTGTACAGCAAACGATTCGCGATTACTGGAGCGAAAAAGCCGACCTCTTCTCCGCCATTCGACCACCACCTTACCGAGATGGGAGAGGGTCCTACATTGCTTTTACTACTTTCGGAACGTTATGTATAATCCGATACGGTACCGGGAGGTCGCTCGCTATAACTCGCGCCACGGTACGGTAAGCACAAAGGGCCGCGCGCGCGCACGTACAGTTCTCTTCTGGACTACTTGTTGTGTCTCTCATAAAATTATCGAATTTCTCCTAGATACGACGAACGGACGATGAGTACGAGCAAAGGCTTTGACGCGAATTTTAGACCTCAAGTTCAGTGATATTAAAATTCGCTTTAGTCCGGTTATACAAAGTATACGCCGCGAGAAAAAAAAAGTTACGAGCGCGAAAAATTTTCGTAGAACATCTTCGAAAAACAATTGCGTCCGGCGCATAGTAATCTGAGAACGAGAGAGAGAGAGAAAGGGAAAGAGAGAAAAAAAACGTTACTACACATCGTCACACTTTTACAAAGTTACGAAAAATTTTTATCTGCAAAGTATATATATTTTTTATTGTCTGACGATAAAAAAAACTCAGATTGAAAAAAAAAACACAAATTCGCAACGTAACTTCAATCTTTTATATTGCAAAAGTTGTTTAACTTCTCTCGCTTCTTAAAAATACAGCATATTTTTATGTGCAGTACACGCGCACATACACACGATCCGATGCAAATAACAAATATTTTCCGCGAAATTGTTTACGTTTCATTAATCAGCAATATGCAACGCACGACTGATCAGAATGGATGGCGGTAAAAGCAGAGAAACTGGATCGTTTAAACATTAAAAAAAAAAAAAAAATCATAAAAATTCATAAAAATGTTTTTAGTGTAATAACGTCGTCAATTTTTCATTTTTATTATAAATAAATTGAACGTAGCAAAACCGCATCTAATTGCTATGTGTTTTATATACATATGTTATATGTATTTTGCGTAAACACGTTCTCTTTTCCAGAAAACATTTTTATCGATAAAAATCTCGACTACAACTGCATCTCGACTGTTTACAGCGAAAACGGCGGAACGCGTAAACTCGTAAAAGCGCGTCGTTACGTACATAAAATGTTTTCGATTAGAAATAATTAGTATCGACGAACTCGCGACCCAGTTACCTAGGCGAGACTACGTTTCCTGTCGTCGCGTCGTTTATTTTCGAACTCTCGGAAACGTCCTCGCTATCTTTATGATTTGCACGTTCGCACCGCGCGGGTTCGAAAATTATCACTCGCTGGTTGAAAACCGTTTCGCGATGAGCGAATTCCTCTCGAGCGATACACGTCGCGTCGCTCGAACGACTTCACGTCCGAAAATAAATGGCGAACGCGCGGCATAAAAATTCATCGCCCCACGTGAGACGCTCGATGACACTGTCATCGTAAAACGCCACGAACGTATTCCGACGTAAACAAGACACGAATGCGTAATGCACCGTTGAGAGGAAATAATTCGCCGAACACAATTATTCGTCGAAGAACTTCAAATTGGCTAATTTAAATAAGTTTTTAAATTAATAATTGACTGATTTAAATAATATTCCAATTTCTATGTTTCCTACCTATAAATATATATTCTAGCGTGTATTTATACTCTCTCTTATTTATACTTTCCAGAACAAAAAAAAAAAAAAAAAAAATTTTAATTATCTACCGTCGTATTCTCGAAATGTAATTTCTCGGCGCGATAATGTGATAATGAAACAAACAAACAAAAGAAAGAAATACCTGGGAATGTTCGCCTTTCAGCGACGCGGACAAATAGGAAGACCATTTTCGCGTGTTTACGCCAGCCGGGATATCGAGCTAATAATCTTCGCCTCGGCTCAGCAAAATTCTATCGCGATGCGTGAAAACATTTGCGATATGTTCTTTATATCTTATCGGTTCTCAGTTTCCTATCGCGGCTGCTAGAAGTGCACGTTGGAACAAGCACGCGACGGATAAAAACAGAAGCGTCCCGCGCGCATTAAACATCGCACGCGCGCGAATAAATTTCCTCGAGCACAATGCGAGCGCCTCGGTGTTCTGCGTGCGTGCGTGTGCAACTCGCACGCGCGCGCGCGTTTAAACTACTACGCAACGATCCGTCATCTAATCGCGCCTTGATCGCTTAATACACGTCTCTCTGACAGTTTGCTCCACATCGCGCGACGTATCGCGATCTTCTGAGATCATCGCGCTCATATCCTGCAATTATATGTTTCCACGTTGAATAACCGCGGCATTATGCGCAACGATAACTCTCTTTACGCTACGCTAACACATCACGCAAAATTAAAACAAAATTGTTCCGTTGATGAATAATTAATCGCGTAAATCGCGCACGAGAACCATTAATTAACTTGATAATTATCTGCGTGTCAGTTTGGCAAACGAGTGCTTTTTATTTTTTTTTATTTTTTTTTATTATTTCTCCTTATTTGCATTACAAATTTTCTCTCTCCCTCTTTGATAATATATTTTAATTAATAGAAAAATGATAGATTAACACGGAAACGCGGAACTAACAGGACTTTTCAGACGTCAGCCACTGAGACGATAAGATTACTCGGCGCAAAGTTTGACGTAGCGGTTGTCGTATATTATACAAACCCGGGTAGCAATTAGAACACGGATTAAGTCGCGTTTGTCCCAATACCGCTCGGATCACACGTTAATTACACGGTAAACAACGTCGAGACGATTAAGCCCGCGCGTATTACACGTTCGTAATCGGCCTTCCGCCGATATATAACTCGGGGAGGCGCGCCTCCCATTTAATCGAGTAATTAATCAACTTTTGCGCTTATACACTCGCGCGCCCACTCGTTTCGCGTTATAACCTCCTGTACAAAGCGACGGCGGCTTTAATGCGGAAAAGATGCTCGGCGGATGATCGCTCTCCCGGTCGTGTCGCGCTCTTTTAAAACGCTCGGTTGACGAACACCCACTCAACTCGCACGCAATTACCGCACGCAACACCGGAGTTGACATTTCGATGCCCTTTTGCGCGACGTTCAACTTCGTCGAGATACGTAGCGCGCCAACGACGCGTTTCTTCGGACGCGCGCGCGGTTTTTACTCGAGGCTGAACATCGGGACAGACGCGCGCACATCAACAGCCTTGCTCGTCATCGCGTATTTTTTTAAACACTAGAATGATGACAATAATTAATCACTCGCGTAGCCAACACTCCTCCTCCTCCTTCCTCTTTCGTTTCTCTTATCGCGATCCAATGTCGCCGATGGTCACGGACGATTGGCGTTCGCGATGTGACGTCGCGCTGATGCGCAGAAAGTTACGCGTACATGAATGAAAAAAACAAGACACAACATAAACGCCCGGGAAACTGTCGCGAAAATTGTGGAATGTCTCGTTGAATTTTTATCGGACAAGTTTTTATACTCGCGCGACAAATTAAGACATACGTCAAAACGAAGAAGACAACAGCCAGTAGATCGTTCACTGACGCGCGAATCCGAAACCAAACCCCGGCGATGAGTTCGACGTCGTTTCGGCAACAAGTTTGCGCGTGCGAATCTGAAGCGGACAGATACCGTCCGTCGTTTGCGAGCAAGTTCGCGTAGCCGCGGGTCAGAGGAACCAACTTCGCCGCCAATCGGAGGTGAACTGTCGTTCTCGCGGACCGGCCGCTGGCAAGATTGGCCGGTAATATCTCTCTGACTTTGGCCGGGAAAGAAGCCTTGTCTATTTTAACGGGTCAGAGAGAGAGGGAGAGAGAAAGAGAGAGAGAGAACAGGCAAGTAAAAGACACACGAGAGAGAGAGAGGGAGAGACGGTGGTGAGAGGGTTAAAGACGAAGGAGAGGGACAAAAGGCCTCCGTATATACACAGAGAGACCGGCTTTTACGCTTCGTTCTTTATTTCGAGGTGGCCAGCGAGAGCGGAACAGCGGAGACGCAATTTATTTTGCGGATCTCGGCAAAGCTAACATCTCGTCCGAAACCTTCCTTCCGTATCGAAGATTAATCCGCGACCATTTGCGGAAAATCGACGCTGGTTCTCGACATATGAGAGCGCTCCTATGTCGAGAACTCTGCTCGGGTTTTCGAAAGATCAAAGTAATCTTTCCGAGTAAATGTCTTCTCTCGCTCTCTCTCTCTCTCTCTTTTTGTCTGTCTTTGTCAGACACTGTACACACACTAGATGAACATATATGTATTTGTCTGAAATATCGTGGCTTAAAATAACTGCGTTTGCTCTTCTCTTTAAATTATGTAATATACAAATAAAATATTTTCGAACTAAAAACAACAAATTGTGAAATTACGCACGTAGTTGTGAGTCATAAAAGCGTATTTCCGAGTTTTTTCCGTGACATGGATCGTTTGAAAAAAAAAAAAAAAAAAAAAATCTAAATGACGAAATACATGAAGCAAACTTGTGGCGCGACGACGAAAAATCAGCATTTCGTTTTATACGAGCCGGATGACACGTGCGTAGGACCGGTTTTGACACGTGCGTGAGCATTTTTGCACGCGAGTACGCGTCAGTCGCGAAAAAAACGATCGCATATTCATGAATCGCGAGAGAGTTTAACGTTGTCGTACATACGTAGCGCGCGATGCGTCGTCGCGCGAATGCGTGTATCTGGCGCGGGGAGTCCCGCATCATCGAACCGGTTGACACGAGACTTGAAACACGAACACGAACACGCACACACACTACACTCTCTCGGATCACGGGATTTGCATAGATATTGACAGGAACTGTCGGAAGAACGAAAGGCTGCGCATGATTGCGGTTCCTAAACGGCTCGCGGACAGATCGAATCCAATAAAAGCGTTAAACGACGTGTATGCGCGTCGCAGGAAATATTGCGTGGAGCAATCGTCCTCGAAAACGAAATCAAAATGTTGCGAACGACCACTTTGCAAAGAAACAAACTTTTTTTTTTTGCTCAAAAACTATTTTTACAGTTTTTTTAATATAAAAAAAAATATCGACAAAGTTTGTAATTCGCACAAAGAATCGTTATATTCGCGTTTTCGTTAGATTCAATAATTGTGCAAGCAGTTTTGCGAAAAAAAAGGAAACATCGCTGGCTTCGAGAATATTTAAAAAACACTGTGTCAAGGAGTCTTTGATCAGCATTTTATATATGAATGACAACTCTCGTTATCGGGGGACAAGACTATCTTTTTTTTTATCTGAAAACGGGTCGCGTGTGAATGTTTCGCAGCACGCGTACGCGGGAGCTTCCAACGGCGGATATATTAGCGGGAGCTTTCGCGCGGTAACGAAGAGGGAAGTCGCTGGATTAGACGGCGACGGGGAGATAAAGCAAAGCCACGTACACAAAGACCATAATGGGCACAATAGCGGCGAAACAGAGAAACGAAGGATTCTGCGAGACGAGGTTGGGTTCGACGAGATCCCGATCTTGTGCCTCCCATCTTCCGCTTTCTCATTACTCCGCCTTTTCTCTCTCTCTCTCTTTCTCCCTCTTTCGTTGTAAGATTACTCCAATTCAATGCGTCGCCGCGCATTTCCGCGCGATGTGTACACTAGACCGCCATGTAGAGAATCGTTTCAATGAGACTGTCCCGGCCTCGCCTATAGACTGGAAATTTAATGAATCCGACTTTCGCAGAGGAGACTCCGTCGAGAGGCGCATTCATTATTTTATTGATCTCGTTCGCGTCGTCAGCCATCAAAATTGTAAATTGTTAGCGACGCGTCTCTCTTGAAAAAAAAAAAAAAATCGTGTATTTTCGAACACACACGTAAACACGCCACTTCACGCACGGATTGACTATGTTATCGCAAAAATAACAAACATTACAAAACTAACAAAACTACGCACTCTCAATTATTATAAAATTAAATTAAAATCAAAATTTGTAAACAAAGAGCAGAAAAATATTATGTTTTCACGTAATTTGTGCGCGTAATCGCATCGAGCACAATTTTAATTTATACACGAGAGAGCGAATCTCTCTATCTTTCGAAAAGTGACACTCGGCACAAACACGCTGCGATTGCCAACAAATCAACTCGAATTAAACGCAATTAGATGGAGTGGATGATGCGGGACGGAGTTGGGTTAGTGTTGCCGGTTACCCGGCAAATTGATCAAAACTGCCTTCACTCAAGCGACTTCGCGTCCGTCAAATGTCCTTTCGAGGTCGAACGAACGATATCGTATTTTATCGCGCTCAAGTTGGCGCTTCCTTCCGTTTTTACGCGGGGAACGTTATCAAAATCGGATCGGTCGAGTGTAAACAGACGCATCGTGTTTTTTTTTTTTTTTTTTTTACGCAACACGACAAACAGAGATCTAACCTCACGTGATACAAGAACTGCGATTATCTTTCGGCTCAAATTAACGTGTAAAACGTTTTACCTCCCTTTTTCTTCTCGAATATTCTCGGGTATCGTAAAATCATTGGTCTTTTTTCGCGCGGAAAATTTCCCTTCGGAAAATCGTTGCCGAGAACGTTTTTTTTTACACGTTTACGCAACGTGCTAAGGAAAATAACAAAACGAGAAATATAAGAGCGCGCGTACCCGAGAAAGAGATCTGTCAAAGAGAAAAGAGAGAGAAAATTGAATCGCAATCACAACGAAAATACGATCGTTCTCGGGTCAGGACAGGGGCAAAGTCTTTGTTCGGAAGGGTGCGAACCTATGGAGAGAAAACTCGTGACACGACCAGCTGTTCGACTCACGATCCGGTTCGGACGCTGCACGAGGCTCATTGTGTCATTGTGTGTGTGTGTGTGTGTGTGACACACTCCCGATTCGTATCTATTAAAGTACCGTCTCGACGAATTTTCATAAATAAGCCCTCGTAAAAAAAAAACTTTACAAAACGTAAGCCGACGTTTGTTCGGTCGTTTCCGCGTAAATAAAGCGCGAGTCTCTCTTTCTCTCTCAAAGGACTTTTATTTACGACTGTTCCTAACTACATATCCTATACATATCGGAATTGAATTACTTCAAACTTTGTGGACGGATTAAGTTGCGTGTTATATCGAGTATCGACATCCTCGGCCGAGGCAACAATTAATTGGAGAGTAACGTGAAATTGAAGGCGAAGGTTAATGAACCAAGACTATCGGGCGCAGCGCCGAACGGAAATCCCCCCGAGAAACCATCTCCTCCGCGTAAATTTCACAAAGCATAAGCCGAACAAGATTTTCCAATATCTATTATATGAAGAATCGCGCAAACTTACTCTATAAAACGAAAAAATCTCGTTTCTCTTAAATGAAAAATTGCCGCGGAGAGATCTCGCGGCATCTCACTCTCGCAAGCGAATCGAGAGATTCATCGAGCGAGCGAGCGAGCGAAAGAGAAAAAAATCGCAAAGGATGATCACACATGTGCACACTCATAAGCTTTTGACATTTCGTATCCGGTAGCATCGCCGGACCGTCATTATCTTCGGCGATGACGCTCGAGTCATCGAGGATAGGCACGTCGGGAATGCCGACGAGCAGGATCAACGTCTGATAAGAGAGACCGAGATCGTTGATCCGCGGAACATCCAGAAAAGGAACACACACATATCTCGGCGCCCGCCGAGAGAGAGAGAAGAATCGCACGCTCCGTACGCGCCCTCTCGCTCCGTCTCTCTCTCTCGCGCGTGCAAACACATACGCGCGCTCGCTCGCTCTCGCGTCAAACTCTCTCGTCGGTCAAACGGCGAGGTGGTTATATTCTCTTCTTACCTGCGTGCTTCTCCGTTTTCGGCGTGGAGGCCATCGTTACCCGGTACGTCGTTGCTCGCCACGAACGCACTATCTCACCATTTCCGCGCACCGCCGCATCGTGAACCACGTACTGGAAGCTGCCGCGGCGTTTTCAGTCTGATGTAAACCCGACGCGCACCGCTACATCTTCGTATGTCGGCCATTTTTCGGGCAGGCGGCGGGCGGGCGCGCGCCAGCGCCATCCGACGACCGGGCCGCGAACTCGCGTCGTTTATGGCGAAGAACGTGCGTTGTGTCAGTCGCGTGACATTTCGATCGTTCTCTCTCTCTGAGTGGGTGTGTTTTTTACACGCCGAGACAACCGGCGCGAATCGAGCAAGGAAAACGTGCGAGAACGAAAAATCCGAAAACGCGAGACGCCGAGACGACGTTGTCACCACATTGCGCTGCGTGCGCGCGACGTAGAGTCGCGCCGCGATTCCACGGTTCCGCGCTCAACGAGGTGTCCGTCGTGCGGAGCGAACATAGCCGCCGAACGCGCCGGTGTACAGTGTCGCGCAAAAGTTGACACCGGAGGGTACAGTCCGCGCGACAAGTCGATCCGTCGCCGCCTGACAGTCATTCGCAAAAGTTCGCGTCAGCGATTGTTGAAATTCGCGCGCTTTTCGTGCTCACAAACTCTCGACTCGAATCGTGGCGACGCTCTTTCTCTCGTTTTTATTGTATACGAACTCTGTATTATCGCACACCTCGCACAAAATTAGACGATTGTTTCGATCGTTTAACAAAAACAACCGCCGATCACTTGAGTTTATCTCGATTTGAAGCACTCGAGCACAATAATTCACTTAAGATAAGCGTAAAGGAACAACGAACGCGATATTACAGCGGACACGCAGTTCGATCGTTCGCGTTTGAGGTTGTTTCTCAAGTAAATAAAATATATAATATAAATCGATTAGGTGTGTCACACATTTATTTCGAAACACTCACGCTGTTTGTCACGTGTAAGATCTCGTCGGCTGCATTTGGACGACGCATCTCAAATCGCTGACGCGACATGGGCAACTCCGGATTGAAGCAACACTACGAGACGGCGAAGAAGACCGGCACCCTGAAATTGTCGCAGCGCAAGTTGGACGAGTTCCCGCGGAACCTCAGTGCCTTGGCGCCGTTGTTGCGCACCCTCGATCTATCCGAGAACAAGTTCACAGCGCTGCCCAACGAGATCGGCGAGTTCACGCAGCTGAAACAGCTGAACGTCAGCCACAACCGATTGAGCGGCTTGCCCGGAACGCTGGGCGCTCTTGTGAAACTCGAAGGTTTTAACTGCTCTTCGAATCAGATAAGATCGATCCCGTCGTCGCTTACGAAACTTACCCATCTGAAGCAGGTAAATCTGTCCAACAATCTCATCTCGGACTTCCCGCTGGTGTTCTGCGGCCTTCGCCATCTGGACGTTCTGGATCTGTCCAGAAATCGGCTGACGATCGTGCCGGACGCGGTCGCCGGTCTCAACGTGACCGAGCTCAATCTGAATCAGAATCAGATCGCGACCATCTCCGAGAAACTGGCCGAATGTCCGCGACTGAAAACGCTGCGACTGGAGGAGAACTGCTTGCAGCTGAACTCGGTGCCTCTGAGAATTCTCAAGGACTCCAACGTCTCGATGCTCGCGCTCGAAGGGAATCTCTTCGAGATGAAGCAGTTCGCGAATCTGGACGGTTACGACGCCTACATGGAGCGCTACACGGCCGTCAAGAAGAAGATGTTCTAATAAAAGTTGTTCGATCGCGCGTTTCGAGAACATATCGAAAATCGAACTGTTTCGATAGCAGGCGCGTGTAACCTCCTCGTTGTTGTTCGCGTTGTTGTTAGTCCCGAAGCAATTTGCGCGGGGACTATATTTGAGATATTAATTGAAATTGCAAAACCACACACACATATTGAAAAACTTTTTTACGTAAAATTTACACGATATAAACCTCTTTACTCGATTTCGAAATGTTTTGAAGAATAATAAAAAAAAAAAAAAAATTAAATTTCGCGTGGAATTTGTTTTTCGCAACAGCCTTAATTGCGCTCGCACACGCACTTTGCAAACAAAAAAGTATTTTCACAATGTGTGTGTGAACTGTGTAAAATAAATTTTGTAATGCGTTTTCGCACAAACGATATCGAAAAAAAGCGCGCGCGTGTGCGAATTCTGAGCGTTTCGCTCGATGAACGGATCAACGACGCGCGAAACACGTTCGTCGTCAAATTCATTTCGAAAGAAATTAACGCAAAACACCGACAAAGTATAAAAATGCGTTCTTTCTCGCCGCGCAACGTGATGTTTCAATTATACGCTTTGTATTACATTCTTCCGATGTTTACCTCAAATTTTTGAGAGATTGTTTATTAATCGATGTAGAATTGTTTTTTTTTCTCTCTCCGACGCGTACATTAAAATCGCACGATAACGTTGATTGCGTTCGTATTATTTATATAATTAGTTAAATTATTTTACACAATTATTATATATATATATGTAAAATATAAATAGACAGCACACACGAAAGAGAGAGAGAACTCTGCTCGTTTCTCACGTCGTTGTTTGCACAGTTGTGAAAATTACAATATATGATCTTTGAACTTTTTTCTCAACACGGTCGACCGTGTGTTAATTTCCGACCGAGAGATGACGAGAGAGAAGTCGTTTAGAGAATCCGCAAAGATACAAATCGCGGAACCCCGAAGTTTTTTTTTTTTTGTCGAGATTCTTCGGTCTGTACGTGTGTGTTAGTCTCGTTAGACTGTTTTTTATTTTCTCAACTTCTGTAACTCGAATTTTCTTCTTCGAGTCGCAGAAGTTCGACTCTGTGTTCTAGCCGAATTACTACGCAGCAAGCGACCAAATAATATTTAGGTATACACAAAGTAACAACAACACACGTTTTGAACGTATTGTTTTTTTTCGACCTGTACATATATATATTTATGATATGATTGTACGCGAGAGCTTTACTGGATTGTACGTGCAACTTCACTTTTTTGTGTCAGAAAATGTACGAGAATAAAAATCGTGTATATTTATTTTTACCCCGTTGTGTATCAATTAATTAATTAATACTACGATTGCGTGTGATGTAACTGATTGTATGATTTCCTGCTAGAGAGAAAAACGCACGAGCGTGTGTTTGTGTGTGTGTGTGTGTATGTGCATTTGATAAACAGTCAACGGTAAACGAACGAGAAATAAAACTGCATCCGAGTAATTTTTCATTTCTTTGATATGAATACTGAGAATGCACTGTTAACTGTTATATGATACACGTTGAGCGTGCGCGCGCGCTTGTATGTGTTCGTGTATATACATATATATATATAGCAGACGTACTACTCTAGTGTTTGAAGCGCTCGTGCTTCGTAAACAAACAACGTAATCAGGGAGAGTAAAAGCTTCTTAAATAATATTTCTTACCGTTTCTATTTGTTATGTTGCTTCGAATGGTTGAACGACACGAATATCGATTGTTTATGTTATGTCTGCCGCAATAAGGACCCCAAATGCCCACCTCCGGCCATTTCGAACACGGAGCCACGTTCCAAACTGGAAAACACGTTGTTTTTCTCTCGTACGATGTAACAAATTGTTGATTAAATTACTGTAGAAAGAAAATCGTGATCGCATTCGAATCAAAAACCGTCTCGTTTCACACACGCGAAGAAAATTTCTTACGTGTGTAAAAACGATGTTTCGCGATAAACGTCGTGACGTTCGGTTTGAGAGGAACCGTTGCGAAAATAAAGAAGCGTCGAAAAACAAATGTTAAAACAAAAATACCTAAACAACGCGCTTCAAGGCGTTTGTTGCCGAGCGAAAGTTTTTCTTCTCGGGTACCCCGAAGGTAAATTACCGATCCTTTGCGCGCGCTACACGTCCCTGAAGCGGTTCGCGGTGTCGCCTCGCAGTGGCGCGCTTGACTCGCGCGGTCGCCCAGCAAGTGTTTCCTCGGACATGGCGGACGGTGCTCGTTCGAATTTCCATGGGACACAATGAACGTGCGCCGAGCTCGCCACGGTGATGCCGATAACTGAGGGCGTGTGGTGGTGATCGGTGTGCGGGCCGGCCTACGAGGGTGACCGGGGCGTCGTCGTGATCGGCGCTGGATCGCGCGTGTCGACGTGTCGCCCGCGAAGTCGAGCTTTTGCCGCCGTCTCGTCGTCGCCGCCGCCGCCGCTGCCGCGAGTGCGCCGAGCCGAGCGGAGCGAGCGGACGGAACGAAAACGGACGGTCGAGCGAGCGTGAGCGAGCGAGCCGACCGTGGCGGGGCCCCCATGGTTGTGTAAATGGCTGACCGGAGTCGTCGGAAAATGTGGTTGTTCGCATGTAGCAGCGCGTGATCGACAAGGCCGGGACGACGCTGAGGTACGACGAGGAAGACGACAACAACAACAACGACGACGACGACGGGAGTGAATCCGATCCACGCCGCGGCGCCACGCCGGCCCCGGAGAGTTTATTTACGACGCGCCCGGGACGCGCGCGGAAACATCGTGAACACCGCCCCGATGCCCCAGGACTCGAGTGCCTCGGGGAGGATTTTCGAGATCACCGTCTCATTTCGTCTTTCTCTCTTTCGTTCTCTTTCTCTTTCTCGTGTGTTCTCCACTCTCGTGTTTTTATTTTCCGTCTTGGTCGATTGATCGCGTTTGTGCTCTCGCGAAGATCGTGCGAGAGAATTTCAAGTTAGTGACATCCGTGCGATTCGGTCGTGACGCGATGCCGTCGTTCGCGAATGTTTGAGCGGCCTCGTGGCCGTCACTTTTTCCGCGACGACGACGGGAGTGAGTGCGCCGGACTGTGTTTTAATGAGATGCCGATCATATGGTCGAGATCGTTTCGCCAAGTTGAGGCCCGCGCGTTTCCCATACGTCGGACTCGCGTAACGTTACCCGTCGTGGCAGGTGGCGGCTTCACGCAATTTATTTCGCGCTTCCCGGAATGTTAGGGGCGCGTGCGGCACGTCGGATTCCTCCCGGACGCCGATGCTGATACTCTGGACCGAATTGTATACTCGTTGTGTTTTCTCTAGAATTTTCGTGTCAGAAAATCGCGAAAATGTTTGTGCATTTGTGTGATTGTAAAATAACGTTGCAGATGTAAATATATCGACGTATACGGAAGTAATTTGTGCAGTAACTTATGCATGCGGATGTTGACTAACGGCATAAAATATTGTCTGGTGCACAAATTGAAATAACAATGATGCAACGTTGATTTTATTTTTATAAAACAATTAACTTCAGTGTTTTATACCAATCTTTTATATTGTTTTCTTTAAATGTCTTTGTGTTAAATAAAAATCAAGCATGTTGTATAGAAACATTGTGCAAAACACAAATGTTTAAAATAAACTGTTAGTTTTTTATTTTCTGTTGTGACTGTATATTTAGTTTGATTTGTAATAGGGAAATTAATTTAAGTATCTCTGTGACATAAATTAAATAAAGATACTTATTTTACTATATATTTCTGTGATTTAGAAACAGGGTAAAAAATGTCAGAAACTGAGGAAAGTCTGGCAGCCCCAGATAGCACTACAAAGGAACAGCGGTTAGGCTTTTCCAATGGGGATGATGTACTACAACACAAAGATGGCAAATTTTACCTTGGTACAGTTGTCGAGGTACAAACAAAGCCTGTTATTTATTAGTTTTCTTCTAATTTTACCGATTTTGAGAATGCAGTGCAAAATTTCTTTTTCACACAGGTGGACTTGGCAAGGGAGAGATGTCTTGTCAATTTTATGGACAACACATCTTCTTGGTCCTCGTTTAAAGAGTTGACAAAGTTGTCCATGCCAGACTCAGACGTTATGTGTGTTCTCTGCAAAAAATCTCAGCCTAAGACTGACAATGACATTGTTGTTTGCAACAAGTGTGGCCGTGGCTACCATCAACTGTGTCATCAGGTAGCATATATGTGTAGTCTATTCATGTTTGAAGGTGTAGAAATACATAGGATTTCACACAGACAAAAAAAAAATGCAGAGACACAAAATATCTAACAAAAAAAAATGTGTATCTTTTTACAGCCTCAAATATCAAAACAAGAGACAGGCGCAGACACCCAATGGGTGTGCAAAAGATGCATGAACAGCCAGCGCACACGTGACTCTTGTGAGGCAAGAACAAGGGAAACGGTTAAAGAAAGTATCAGAAAAGTTTGCAGCGGTAGGGACCAACCTCGACCTCACCCACCAGATAGCATGGCAAAGCTGCCATACGATGTAAGAGAGAGATTCGAGTTTAAAATATATTAATTATTAATCTGGCAAACAACTCTGTGTAATAATTTGTAAACAAAATTGCACATGATGTAGATAAGTGCGATCTCCAAACGATTTCTATAACATCTTTAATTTCAGCCTGATATGTTAAGTTGGGACGCGCATCACAGAGTAAACGCTGAACAAATTTATTGTTATTGCGGGCTTAATGGGGAATGGCATGCACAGATGTTACAATGTGCTCGTTGTAAGCAATGGTTTCACGAAAAATGCATCAGATGTTTGACTCACCCTTTGTACAGTGGGGATAGGCAAGTACATGTATTTAAAACAAAAAACAACATTTTTAAAACTTCAAATTCAATGTAACTTATCAAATCACCATGTATTCTCGTGTAATTGAATAAAATTCGCAGGTTTTATGTATTCGTTTGTTCAATGTGCAATTACGGAAAGGAATTTGTTCGGCGTCTGGAAATGAAGTGGGTAGATCTGGTGCACCTGATATTGTACAATTTGACTGTTTATCACGCTAAAAAATATTACGATCTGGACACCGTTATTATACCGTACGCGAACGACAATTGGTACTTCTTACAGCTTCCATCACGGGTAAGACTTTTTCCAGCACAATATAAGATACGCCAATGCGCGCAGATTAATTGCACACACAGGATTCGATAATATCTTATTGTATTTTTTTAGATTAGAGATGTTAGTGCTCAAGTGCGTAGAGAATCAATACTGGCGATATTGACAAACAATAGAAACCGGTTCAAATGTGGCAGAGAAATAAAAAAGCGCACTACAATATGGGGCCTCCGCGTCAGACTGCCACCGCCTTGTCCGATCATCACTCTTCCAGCATCCGGCGAAGTAGATGACTTCGTATTGCGCAGATGTTCCGCTGCTAATAAAAGACTGCAGTATCTTCCTCCGCATATAGGGTTAGCTAGTGAAAAACTCAATTACGGATTTTAATTACGTGGTTTTTTAAATTTGTATTTGCGTAAAAGATCCGATATATGTTTGCAGTCCTGTGAGTTTGCCGGAAAGTACAAAACAATTGATGGCACTGAAGCAAAGTGTGTCCGAGAATGTGGAAATTCCTATAAGCCCCACAGACTTAGTGATGCGAGGTACGGTTTATCAAAATTCCGAAGCGGAGCGAAGTTCTTGTCCGAGTCCACCCAGTCAATCGACACAGTCTTTAAGAGAAAGGTAATCATTTTTCTCACTTACGCGTGCGAAATATTCTGAAACGTTATTTCACGTTTGAAGTTTGTGTTTTATTGTTTACGTTATTAAGCAATTTAACTGATTGTTGTTGCAGGTATAGCGGCGGTGGTTTTGTGAAGAAATCATTCCCGTTTCCCAAACTGAGTTTGCAAAGAAGACGTCGTTTAATGGCGTTAGGTAGTTCGCGAGAAAGAATGCTACGTAAACATAAGAAAAGGGAAAAAGGAGAGGGGAAAACGCAAGGAGTTCGAGAAGCAAGATACAGAAAGGCTCGGAAATTGCTGAAGAACGCGATCGCTAAGGTAGATGTCACATTCCACAAATGTACACAACAAAGTACCTGCATTGTGCTTCGAATTATGATGAAATGTGCATGTTTTTTGTTTTCTTTTGAATACAGAGCAAGTCACGAACTTCAGAGACATCCGACTTACCTCCAACGCCCCCGACTTCTGTGTCTGGCCCTCCCACTCCACCAGCCACGACGTCAGGCATGTCCGAAGTATCCGTGCCTAGCTCCGTGGATCTGATGCATCCTCTACCACCTTCGACGCCCGCAGACACGAGCGGTGACGAGACCAGCTCGAGGGGAACTCTGGATTCCTTTATTCCACCACCCAAAGATTTCGAAGGGAAGAACAATCCGTTCAGCGACTTGGTGGGCACTCCTTGCAGCCTGAATCAAGCGAGCTCGAGCACGCCGTTGCCGTACAACCCGTGTCCCATCACCTTGCCTCTACCACTGACACCTGTGATCTCGCAACCGCCGGTAGTGCGTCCGGCAAAGAGGCAGCTATCGGAGAAAGATATTATCGTCGATCGAAATGGACAAGTGAAGCGCAGGAGGCAACATCGACGGGGACGTCCGTCTCAGCAGCAGTTGCAGCAACAATTTCAGCCGCACACCGCCAGCAAAACGGCGGCCATTTTGCCGGCTCGTAATAACGAAGTTAAAAGTGAATTTGCCAGGAATTTACGAAGTTCATTTAATGGTGCCTCGAGCAGTGCGAGTAGTCAAATTGGAAATTGTGTGGATTATGCCTTAAACGGTAGGAGGTTGAGACAGCGACAGAATAACGAGAAGCTACCTCCGCCCGATCCGCAACCGCAAAGAAAGAGCAGCTTGCCTTCCCCAGTGAAGCAAAGTGCGCCCGACATATCTCTGGATGACCTCAAGTCATCGGTGAATATTTACTTCGGTGCGGCCAACAGAATAGCCGCCGGTGAAAAGTTTGTCATTAAAGCGAAGAGAACAGCGCCGAACGGCCAGGCGCAATACCTCATCGAATGGGAGGGACTCAATACTTAACGGTAAATAATCAGCTTACGACGAAAAATATTATGGAATCGTATACATATATTTTAAATTGATGTCAAACGAGGGCGGCCGGCGATCAGAGAGCTGAACCGCGGCATCTTGTAATCAATTCTCGGTGTTTTCTCGGCAAAATGATTGCGATCAATTGTTTTGCGTTCACATGCACTGCCACTTGTTACGTACATTTCATAAAAAATGTATGTATTTATCGGCGTATATAGAATACGTGAGTGTTCTTGTAAATGTGTGTTTTGTATGACAGTTGAAGTTTTAATTTGATGCATGAAGAGTTTTTTTACGCGCGTCTGCGAAAATCATTTTACTTGACGATTTATTGAAGCTTATTTATTGCATTGTTTCTATAGTTTTATTCACGCTTGAAAGTAAAATATTCGATATTTAGCACAATTATTCTTTTAAATGTATGTGTTTTATCTATTTTTAACAATCAAAGAAGTACGTGAAGGTCTGTTTCTTGTTGTCTCACGCATCTAATTTAAAACGAGTGTAATGAAATACTCGTTCTCTCGAAGGACGTTTACAAGAACAATCAGCTGTATCGCTTATCGATTGTAAATAGTGTAGCATAGTAGAAAAAAAACTTGCGGAAGAGAATTCGACACGGTGTGAGCCGCGGCGACAAGGAAATGATCCGCGTGCTCCTCATCCGTAAAACAGAAAAATTGGCCAATCGTCCCTGACAGAGATGCGACATCAAAAAAGAAGCACAGTCGTTTTCACTTGAACTAACGTATTAGTATTATCTTAGTGATAAATAGTTAAAAAAAAAAAAACAAAAAAACAAAACAGACATCCTGCAAAGGTTATTTTTCAATATACTTGTAGACATAGTCTTCGACTTCTGTGACTCCATTGTCTCGAATTACAAATTTACTCTTGTGGACGACAATCTTACAATGCAAAATAAAACCGAGGTCATCAAAAATTTAATTTGTTGCTACGAATTTACACAAACCAACAAATTTTTACTATTACGCACATTACGCGCGTTCGAAAAATTAAAATTGAATTATTTATTAAACATAAAAAAAAACAAACTAAAATATTTGCCGGATATTTACTGGACTTCTGTGCTGTGAGTGAGAATTCAAAAACATACAATTAGCGTATTGTAATGTTTTCCAAACACAAAAGTCCAAGAGCGATGTAACTCGAGACGAATGAAGTTGCAGACTTGGCGTTGCTCATCATTGTACAAGATTAAGAAGAACAGGCACCATCGGTCGAAATTAAACGAAAAACATAATGTATACTGGACATGTAAAGTACTTGGCCAAGTTATCTGTGCAAAAAAAAAAAAAAAAAAAAAAAAAAAAAAAAAAAAAAAAAAAAACCAAGTAACGTATAAACGGCGAATTCGAACTCGTTATATCAGGTATACAGTGTGTGAACTCATTATCGTATAGATACGCACCGTGCAAAGACGATTTTACGCATTAAGCGGGTGGAAGACGAATCGCAGTTGTACATAAAAACAAAAAAAAACAAAAAAAAACAAAAAACAAAATCGGAAACAATCACAGTTTAGGAAAAGAGATGGCAATCCGTGAAATGTAACCAGTGTGTCACAGATCATCTTAGTTTTTGATACAGATTATTTTGTACTCTGAAAATACTGCGCCGGGATTATTCTGTAATAAGAAAAATACTTTACCTTAGATCCCACAGAATCTATTTGGTCATAACTTAATCAGACGATATTTAAAAGCGAACTTGTAAGCGATATGATAATATACAGTTGTGTATTGCCGTCATTAGAGTTCCCAAATCAAAAGAGCTTATTAGAAGGGCTAAAAGAAAAAGTAATTGTTTTTTTTCGCCTGCGACAAATTATTATCAACGACAATTAGCTTTCGCGACGAAAGATTTGGTTTACATTCTGTAAATAAACATACGTTGAGACTTGTTACGACGCATCACTGACGGGAAACTGAGCATAATTTATATATTATTCCATTCTTCCTGTCGCTCGATTTTTATATATTGAAACAATCTGTCGAAAAGAGAGATTTTACTCGCAAAAAAAAAAATTTTATCGCATTTATACTTCGATTTAATTCTGTGATCGAGAATTAAAAACAAGAAACAAGTTTTAACAAAGTTTTTTACCAAATAATATCTGCTAAATTATCTGCTCAAATAATTTTCAAGTTTCCCACTGACTTAACAATGACAAATCTACAAAACGACTTGATGTTTGAAAGACATTAACAAAACTGAGAAGATTCAGTTTTATTGCTATTTATTGAAAAATGTTAAAGTTGCAACAACACACATTTGTGTTTGCTTTTCTTAGTTTCTTTGTTTTTATTCGAAAAGAGGCTTGAACAATTTAAGGCCACTGTGGTATGAGACGCGAGATTTTTTGTGAATTGTCGTTTTTATTTTATCGTAAGATCTCTTTCCAAAGTGTCAAAAAAAAGCTCGTATCTTCCTTTCGCGCAAAACTTCGGCGAGTAATTTACAAATTTATACAATTAAGTGTCTTACAAATTATTTTGTCTATTTCGATTACTCAAATTTTATTTTGTATAAATTACTTCCTCGAAAATCTTTGTAATATATAACATGTACGTATAGTTCGTTTGTTTCGATATATTATTAAAAAAAAGTCTACGTAAATTATATACACACGTTGTTCACACACGAATGTAACGATGGTAGAAACATTTTGCTCGTTTTTTTTTTTTTTTTTGTTTTTGTTTTTTTTCGATTTATATGTACCACAAAAAAGCACAATCTCTATCTTTTTCTCCCTAACGTAGATAAAAATATTCGACGAAAGCAAGTAAAAACAAAAAAAATGGTCACTGCCAAACTTCTAAGTTATATTTAAGAAATGACGTCGGACACACAACGCGTTGTGTGCGCTATGATATAGTAATGTTTGTAAGTAAGTGAAATTTCTCAATCTGTATTTATCGTCACACACAAACACACACACATTCATTATTCCATACGCGAATGCTTAACGAAGCGGCTGTCGTGAGTGCATGATTTCGCGAAGACACGTGCTGATTTGCGACGAAAATTTCATAACATGTGCATGTACGCGCGGAATATCCGAAATTTAAACACGAAGTTTTTTGACTGTGATCGACAAACGAAAATGGCACGGGAGAAATAAAAGTCTCGCAATTACTTTTAACGCACTATTCAGAACTTTCTAATTAAACGACAATACTCCGGCGTGTGAAAAATGAAAAATACATAGAATGAAAAATGAAAAATACCATAGAACGTAAAAAATTCTTAAGATTTATATTTTCCAATTTTATGCAACAAATTGTAAAACTTGTGCTTGAGAATTTTGTATTGTCGTGCGATTAAAAATTTCGCGAATGCGTAGATAGATAGAAATTTGTTTTCGTTTTAAAATACGCATTTTAAAGGAAAATTATTTATTTGAAGTCAAGTTTCAAAAAATTATACTTAGTTTTCTTTTTAAAATCAATATTTTAAAAGAACGCATTCTGTCAAAATGTGAAGTGTACGCGGAATTTTATGTTCTTCTCTGCCATCTCCGGTTGAACACATTAAAAATGTGAGACTGTTCCGCGTCGACGATTTGTTGCCTTGTTTGTTTTCGCTTTTCTCACATAACAATCGTTTAAATTGTAAAATACGTTACGAACGCTTTGAAATTTTTCTTTTTTTGATAAAAATCAGAAGATCAACCGCATTCCATTGGGGTCTCGCGTGACAATCGCAAAGTTCAGAAGAGTCACGATCGTAACGTCGCGGATAAATTCGTGTTGATTCGCGCGAATTTTAATCGCCGGCGATAACAGTCGCTCATTCTGCAGAGAGTCAATGTCTGATTGAAAAAAAAAATAATAATAATAAAATAAATAAATCGCGATAAAGAGAGATTTACAATTGATCGCGCACGTTGCGAATCGGCATGTCCGAGCGTTCTGTCCAAAATGGAACGTGTGCGCGACGAGCGAGATCGTTAATGCGGGGCGAAAATTGTAACTGCCAGTAACGCGAGTGTATAAATTAAATCATTAAATGTGTGAAACTTGACAAGTATAAAGTTTCGTACTTGATGATTTAATATTATAACTCCCACTCACACATACACACATATACAAACATTTCTCTCGTCCATCTCCTTTTTTTAACGTATAAAATACCCTACAAATACACATCAGAGAGTGAGAGAGAGAGAGAGAGAGAAAGAGAGAGAGAGAGAGAGAGAAAGAGAGAGAGAGAGAGAGCTTAATTATGTCTTTATGTGCCGTTCGTATGGTGATTACAGAGCGTGCGATACAGGCTCGAAAAAAAAAAAAAATAACTCAGCGTGTCACTTCCAAAATCGGATCGTTCGATCCTCGTCTTCGGTGCATTTGTAGCGTTCACCCCGTGCGAGATTTCAATGAACGTTATCTCTCGATACAATGTGTTCTCTGTCGCAGCGTAAAGGGAATTGGAATTTTATAACGTTTTTAGGAATTTATAGCGTTTTCATTGAATTAAACCCCAGAAAGTTTATGTGATAATCATACGTCCCGGATTTAGTCCTCTCTGTGTACACACATACATGAACTCATATACATGTATAGTGTCATGGAGGACAAAGAGTACCGGGTGTTTTGCTAAAAAAAAGAATTGAAATTTTTGGGACACTTGTGAGGAAAGAAGCACTTTAGTCAATGCGCGATCAAATTGTTGTTTCGAAATTTAGAGTATTCCATGTTGCGCAAATGAATAAAATAATCGATCGGATTATTAAAACCTAAGAAAATTAAAATGAAGTAGTTAATAAACTGATTATATGCATGAAATTAATTATTTAAAAAGTTATTCAACTGCGTGCATGACACATGTCATCGTACACGAATGAGATTGATTTAAATTTAAATGTGAGTCTCTCTCGATTGTTAACATAAATATTTTATATCATTTACGTCATAATTTTTGCTCGTTGAATTATGTATTTGTAAAACAAAACAATCGATTTTTTTGTTTGCGTTGATATTTTATACGATGTATGACTTTTTGCGTGATAAGATTATCACGTGGAAAATACGATACGATGATCTCGATATATCGTATAAAATACGTGCTAATAATAATCGAATGCGGAAAATGTCATTTACTTAAAATTAAAAATTATCGCGGTTATAGATCAGACAGATTGGTTTTTTACTTATTATTTATATACACAAACTTTTATAATCACAGATGTGTGTCAATCTTTCGAAACTGATCTAGAATAAATTATTTAAGATTGTGTGCAACAAAAAGAACATAGGAATTTTTGTGCCAGCAACGTGTTCGTAGGAAATTTTATGCTTAAAATATATATTTTCGACAATATCGTAACGTGTGAGAGTCGGTTTTGCGAAGTATTCGTGATTTTCGTACGTGGTAAAATTCTTGCAACGATCAGTCAGGTGACGATGTCTTCATGCCAACAAATGTTGGAAAAATCTGTTTGTTTAAACCGATTAAAAATTCCGCCGTAATTATCAAATTTTTAGGATTTGTTTGTTTGTTTGTTTTTTTTTTCCTTTTTTTTTTCTTTTTTTTTTTTTTTTTTAGCGTAATAAGATTCGACGCGATCTCTTCTTTACGACAAATGAATGTTTCGAAGCATTACCATGTTTTTTTCACGAGCGTAATTAATCGTCGAGCCGAAAATCGATTCTGTAATCCTCGTGCGGAGATGGATGACTTGTGACTGGGAAAGTAGATCGAAATAGTGTGAAAAAAACAAAAAAACGTGTGCTTCGTGTGAATGCTTAATTTGCTCGTACGTGTGTGCGTATGTACGTATGTGTATATTTGAGTGTGCGCAATTAACTCTATAAAAAAAAAAAAAAAAAAAAAAAAAAAAAAAAAAATATATATGTACAGTAGGGAGCACCATATCGTGCGGCTCCAGGTGCGGTCGGAAGAGCCCACGTCTCAACACTAGCCACAATAACTTCTAGAATGTCAAAAAAAAAAAAAAAAAAAAAAAGTAAAACAGAGCGAAGCGAGCGATCTCTCAGCAAAACAGTTTAAACATCATAAAAAAAAAGAAGGCGAGACAGTAAACACGATGATGAATTGTCGCAATCCGCGCGAGAATTCTTATTTCATCGCGCAGTAATGACGCTCGTTTTTTTCGCGAAATCGGAAGAAATTTGTTGTTTCGCCGAACTTGATATAGTGAAGTGTGATAGAATCACTCTCTCTCATCGCCGCAGATCTCTGAATTTATATTTCTGCATACATTTCCATTTTTAACGTTAATTCAGTAATAGTGGACTCTCTGTATATACACCGCCTGCGCTTATATGTTGAATTATTATTACCGCTCTTGTGCCGATGTCCCTTTCCGACATCGCTGCCGGTCGGTTCGCGAAACAAATTGCTTGCGAGAACACAACTGTGGTTTTCGCGCAACACAGAAAAGTGACGTATATTAATTGTTTTTGATTAATATATATCATTTATACAGGAGAGAAAAGATGTGTTCTAAGAAAGAATTTTAAGATTTTTAAAGAATGAATTTTGTCACTCTCATTTGCAATTAGATTAAACGCGCAAACACACTCGTGATAAAACAAGAAGGTTTGAAAAGATGATGGAAAGGAAACGGCAATGGAGAGCATTTTTACGTTTATTTGATATGTGTAGATATGTATACAGAATGTCCCAGCGAGTTGTTGTCGATTGATCTACGTATTTTGTTGAATAATCCGAAATCTGGTTTTTTTTTCCAAGAGATTTGTTAAATAATCCAAAGTCTTTTTTTTCCGAGAAATTTTATCTACGCGATCCTTGTATTTGCTTTTTAAACTGTCAAATGAAATTAAAAATTTTGTGTTCTGAAGATATGAGATCAAGCTCTTGTAACGAGATTTGTTTGCCTGCACGCAAATGAATTTTGTTTTGTTTTTTTTTACTTCAGTCACGAAAAAAGCTTGACTCTATTTTTTGACTCTATATTTCTAAAAAAAAAAACCACAAAAAATCCGTAGAACGACGATAATTTGGGACACGTATATGCGCATATATAAATAGTTTTAGATTATCTTAACGAGCTATATACAATTGTTTTTTTTCTTCCGAGCTGGCACTGATGGTACACGCCGCCCGTCGTTGCCGCGCCAAGCTTATTACGAAAAATTCGCGTGTCGTTATCACACATGGCACACGACGTACGGTGCTCGCTCTCCGTGTTCATTGTTGTTTACTCAGCTTTTTGTAAAGAGACTGATCTACAAACTGATTTCTTCACTTCCCCTCCACCCCACCCATTTTTCATATACACTTCATCCATTCTCTCATCGACTCAAAGTGACGCGCATGCGGAGATCCACGTACAAAGTTGAAGCGAGAAAAAAAAAGGAAAATAAAATGACCGGTCTCAAGAATGACCAATGATCACGGTACCGCTGTAAAGAATAATAAACGATACACGTAGACTTACCTAAGACAATGTTCCGTCTCTCACTCTTCCGTCTGTTCCTCAAAAAATTCTACCGTACTTTAAAGAAGTTTCGAAGAAATGTTACGAACGTGAGTTGTTACAACAATTGATTTTATTATAGCTTCTGGTAAAGTATGTGACAAGAAAGAGAGAAAGAAAGAAATGGGATGGTGAGTTCAGGAAACACGAAAAACAATTTATTCAGTGAAATGGATTTTTTTTCTCTTTTCAATAATTCTGCATTTATCAAATATATATGTATATATTTTATAATAATTGCGCGCATAGGAGATAAGAACAAATTTTTAATCGGATAGGAAATACAATAATAATAATTATAAACTGACGAACTATCAAATTTTTGTAACATGATATGATATACAAGTCTCGTACAATCGTACTGATTTTCGCAGTTTTTTTACATTTATTTTGATCATGTACGTGTGCGTTACTTCACGCACATAAGAAAAGAAAATAATTGTACCGCATATCTACAACTCTTTCAAAACGATACTTTCGTTATGCCTTATGTTAACGCCACGCGTTACGCAATCATCGACATGTCGACTCGATATTGTCCCTTGGATTGTTACTCATTAGAATATCATTTTCTTTGTGCAAGCTTCGAATCGTAAACAATGTAGATTATTACGCAACAATTGTATCGCATCGACGGAAAAGGTCATGATTCATATCAAACAAATCAAAAACCGATAAGAGCTGACGTTGAAGACAATTTGTACTAATTTTGTTTTATTTCCTTTTTGTTTTTCACAAAAATAGTGATAAAGCAATCGAAGCGATGCCCCCAATATCGTTTATCAGCGTCGGCTCTTGCTAAATCTCTCTTCCTTTGTATTTCATTTATATCTTTAGATTTGATACTTTAAAATTGTCAATTTTTATTATAACAATATAATTTAATAATTTTTTTTCTAAGTTGGTAACAAGTTTTGTTTAACTTTCTTAGCGTTCAATAATTCCGCAAAGAATCTGAGAGATTGCAAATTTGCACAAATTAAGTGAGAAATATACAATATCGCGTAATATCAACAGTGAGCACAAACAATATCGATATGTTGCCATGTATAAATACACTGTACAAAAAACTGATATAGAAAACTTTACAAAACAGCTAATTGTATCTACAAGGATACAACGAAGACTTAACTCATTCAACCCTAGGTTGATAAATAATTTATATATACATATCTTGTGTGTGTATACATTGCGATATCTTCACTATGAAGAATGCAAAAAAAAATTTCTCTATGAGCGTAAAGATTATTCGTTGACTTGAGCTTGAGAAACAGCCTACATTAGATTGTCAATTCAACATTTACAATCTAAAAAATATCTTGATAGACTTTTGTTATTAATATATATATATATATATATATTAACAATTTTTTGGTGTTACCATTGTAACTACTTTGCTACCTTAATCTACAATGAGAATCTCCCGGGAGATTATTTGATTCTGTCGCCGTTAAAAAAAGAAACAACCGACCATTAAACGTACGTAATTATCGTCAGGGTGTCATCACGCTTGCTAGAGAAGGGAATATCTCGGCTTGCAGCGGCCCATAGTCGACCTCCTCGCCGTCCACGGATATGTGCCCGTTTGTTCCCTCCATAGGTTCTATCCGAAACGCTTTTACTGGTATCATATCGACGCCGGCGCAGGCCAAGTGTGTCCCAGTACTCAGACCTAGTAAAAACTGATAAACAGAGAGACTAGTGAGTATTGCGCAAGTTTTGTTTCATGCATCTTCCAAAGACACAGACTCACTTGTACTAAGTTAGCTCGTGTAATACCGGCTTTAACTATTAACAGCCAAATAACTCCATCCGCTAAGCTGGCACGTGGCGCAAAGAAATAATCTTGTCCCAAGTGCGTCTGATAGGCTGCATGTACCATTACGAATTCACCTACGAAAATTTCAAACGTGAAACATGTACAAATATGTGTGTATACAAATGTCAAGTATAATGGATCGCAATTAAAACAATAATTTTTTATATAACGTAACGCTGCAGAGTTTCTCACACGAATGTTTCTTCAATTACGACCCATTATATTCGGCATTTTATTTAAACTGACGTTTACTGTGAATTTAACTGGAGTCAAAGGGTTAATAAGTGACATATTACGCAGCAACCTTTGAACCGGATTATATGACGATTACAACAAACATCTGTCTTCGAATTTGTATTTTTCCTTGTACATGTGCTGGAACGAAAACTCTTAGTTTGGCTGTGCGCGCATTGTAATATTTTACTAATATTCAATTTTTTTCAAATAATTCATGTTAACGCGAAATAAAAAAAAAAAAAAAAAAAATTTTTTAAACCTCGCAAATTCAATTATTCAAATCGCAACGCTTCCTGCATTGAAAACAATATGTTTGCACATCGACACGTTGACATGAAAAAAAATTTCATAATCTAAACATTATGCTTTACCTTGTACCGTCGTCCAGCAATTTGAGAGTTGCGTAGTTAGCGCAGGAAGTGTGGACGATGGCCCGTACATGACTTGGCTGTTACCGGCATTGTTTGCACCTTAGAGAGAGAATATATCAAATTTGTTAAAATGAAGAGAGAAAACGCGAATGTCATAAAATAAATTTGTATAACGTACACGTACACAGTTCGTTTAATAAGCAAAGCACACACGTACCAATCTCGGCGCTATCATTATCATCGACACTGTGATAACTCGAGATCGAGGCTGTGCTGAAGTAAGTGGATTTCGCCGATCTTGCGGAGTAAAAGCTGTCGAGTCTGTGCCTCTTCACGACATCGGTTTCGAGCGACAGGTTTTCAGTTACCACGTCGCTATCGTCATTTAACTCGGATGACTCACCGAAAGAGTCATGAAAGCTCTTAGACTCAGGTGCGGCACAATACCTATGTAAAATAATTTTTTATTAGCACATTAATAATATACGCGTTTGCCGAAACAAATATAACTTGACAAAAAAAAAAATATACTGTCGAGTTAGGTTCTTTCCGGGCTATTTGTTCATTCCATTTAGATTTCTATAATTCATCAGTAAATTTATGTCGAGATTAAAAAAACACATTATACAACATTTTGTGTTAAAAAAAGTGTTTTATATAGACGCGTGACGCTGTGCTACTTCGTGACTGTCAGATTTTGCGCGACGACCAAATATAACAATAACGTCAATTTGCGTTACCTGTCGAGTTCGTTCTCGTAACTTCTCGAGTGCGACAATATGTTCTCCGTGTCGTACTCCTTGCAATAAATCTTGCCGTTTCCAGTATTTTCAGACGAGGAAACCTTGTTGCAGGGCAAATACGACACTTTCCCCTTGTACGTCCTCAGACCTATTAAGCGCGCTACGCTCCACACGGTGAATCTCTGGCCTCCAATTGCGCGCAACCGTTCGCTTTCGATGTCAATGTCGGCCAGCAGACCCCAGCCCACCGACAGAAACGAGAAGAGTATCCGATTTCTAGTCTCCACACGCACGAGATCCATCGGCGTTCTCTTGCATTTAACAGCCGACAGCGCGCTGATGAGCAACGGATTGCGGTCGTACGGCTCTCTGCGAGAACATCATCCTATTATCTTCTTGTTGAATGAAAACACACCGACGTGTGTGCGTTGTCGCGCGCCACTGTGTCACAACTCGAATAATTCATATCCGAGTTGTTTTATGAGAGAGACCGAAAAAAAGACCGAGAGATATTACAAATCGCGCTCGTGTTCGAACACGCATAGTGCACTTTGTGATATGAGAATCGTCCCACTCGTTGAACTACGCGTCACACAGGGTCGATGAAACGGTTCGATTATGCAACGCGTCGTTACAATCGCGCGCGCGATTCTTGCGTTCTATTCGACGTGATAATTATGTCAAGGGAGATACAAAACATGACCTACTCTTTGGCATAAGCGATGGACTTGGCCAGGCCGTTGCCGGAGCCGCACGGTATCACGCCAAGCGGCAACTCGCGCAGAGCCCTTTCCCAGTCGGGTCTCTGGAGGAGTCCGTTCACCACCTCGAAGACGATCCCGTCGCCGCCGACCATCAGCAGGCCGCAATACTGATAGATGTCCTTCGTGCGCACGAATTCGCAAGCGTAATTGGGATACTTGGTGATGTGAATCTCGTAGGACCTCTCCGCCTCCGACAGGATCGGATGGATCCTCTTCTGGAAGGTCTCTCTGCCCCTTCCGGGTCCGGATTTCGGATTCAGCAGAACGAGAAGTTTCCGATTTTCTCCCGGACATTCTGTAACATTGCAGCGAGAACGCAATTGCAATTTTCCGACTGCGACATATAGTTCGAGTGTTCAATGCTACTCGATAATCGTAAATGCTTATCAAGAAACACATTTCGTATGTAAAACTTGAACGTTATTTCCCGTTACGCACCTGGATATTTTCTTCTTTTCTTAGACACACACAAGGCATATTTATTAGATTACATTATCTCGACCTGACGATTGCGTTATTTAAATGAGATCAGAAATAGTTGATGAAACGCAGCGCCCGTACCTGACCGCTGTCTAATTTATTTGTTTATACAATTGTCGACGCAAAGACACGCAGCAAATTTGCTACGTGTGTGTATCTTTTGTCAGATGTTGTTCGAGAGAAATAGGATCTTATTAAACGCGCGCGCTGGCGCGTCAGTACAACTCGCTGACGCATGTGCATGGAGCGCGTTAGTAAGAACGTAATTTTTTAAAGACCTTCGAGTAATGAATCTTTCTACTTTCAAACGCTCGCGATATTAGAAAGCTAAACGTTGCTCATTCGTCGCTTATTGTCAGATATGAAACGCGTTTATTTACAGAGTTGATATATTTTTGTTTTAAGCGTAGTGCAAGTACTCGCAGATATGTGTGCGCTTATCTGTAAGAAAATGTAACATAATTATCAAGTTCGAATCTGTCTATCGGTGTTCATGTAAATAACGTTTGCGTAACGTTTGCGAGTTGCATCACGCGCCGCGGCGGCCGATTCGTTGCGCTATCTTTTGCGCGACGTTTCGTCTGCAACGTCTGAGTTATCAGATCCAAACGAATATCCTACAGAGAGAATTATAAAACACAACAGTGACATCGCGCACAAAACTATAAAAAAAGAAAAAAAAGAAAAAGAAACAAACATTTTCACCAACTAACGCAAGAAATTGTACGGCACAAATTGCGTGCTTTTTTTAAAAACAAATACTCGTACTCGCGCTGATAAGATAATAAGATTATTATTGATCTTTGATCGAAGTGTAAAAAAACTTTGTTGACACAAACGAACAATGATTGGTTTTTACACAACGTACGCAGAGATTAAAGTGCAAGCAATTGTACTCGCTCGTGTGAGTAATTTCTTAATGGATTTTTAGCAAGCGAGATAAGTTGTCTTTTTTGTTCTACTATTGTCGATAATGTGTTGAAATCACATTGTTTTTTTCAGCGAACACGTGTTGGTCGCCACACACAAAAGTAACATTATGTCTTTGACATCATTGCAGTTTCCATCTCGCGTCATCTTTCGGATTCCTTGAAGTAATCGCGTTACATAAACGCGACGCGTTTCGTCATCTTTTTCTGTTATAATCCAAAGATTTGTTTGACACTCATGACACACGAGATTTATAAAATTTATTCGAGTATCGCGTCGGAAGTGAGGAATCAATTTTCTTGTTTTATTTTTACAACCGCAAACCGATTATTATTCAGCGCGCGACACCGCGTCGAAAGAAATGGAATTTATAATTTTCATATTAAAATACATAAATTTATTTACACACATAAATTTATATCTCCACGCGATTTATATTTCACGTGCGCGACTCCGCGGTGGAAATTGACAAGCGCTTCTTCCTCGAGATTCGCCGATGTGAATCCGTGATATCCGTGTGAATTTCAAAAATCAGGACGGAAACAGATTGATGGAGAAATACCGATAATGAATCTGCGCTACCATGTAACAAGTGACGCGTGTACGCACTTTCACATTACGAGGGTGTACCGAATAATGTTTTTTATTGTTTCGAGTGTTATTGGTACTTGAAATCGTTGCGACCTCGTGTGGGAAGGCGTAGGTACAACACGATTTTAATTTTACATAGAGCTGAGGGCGCGATAACGCCTTTCCACATGAACCAATGATACTTGAAACAATGGTCAGGCGTTATTTGGCACGACTTCTCACGCGAGACGGCATTTACGGCCCTCTCTCGATTGATTTCCGTAATAGAAAACAATTACTCAACATCTGGAACTGTAACTCTCTCGACTCGGCGAGCGAACTTTGAACGTAACATAAATTTATTTTTCACATCGCGAACGCCGATAAACGCAAATAAGTATCAATTAGGAACGTTTGTCAGATAATCTGACTCGGCGAGAGTTTTGCATAATGCAAGTTGTGCCGCGAATGGACAAATTGATCGTGCTACTGACTCGTGCGAGCCTGTGTGAACGCCAATAGAAAGGACATTGGTCGCGACGGCAAACCTGCGTGTTATTGCCGCGACGGACATTATTGTTTCTCGGGAAAAACGAGACGTATCGGACTTTCGTCTTTGTGTGTGCGCGTGCGTAAAGCGCGGCTCGCGTGACAAATAAAGAAAAAAAAAACAAAACAAAATCGCGGAAGAATAGATACACGCGCGCTGAAATTCCACGCGCAGCGCACAAAAAAGATCGAGGAAATCAAATCAGGAAGTCGCGTTTCGTAATGAAAACTGTTTTTTTCTTTTTTTTGTTTTGCAACGCGATACAGCGACATAATGTTGGCTTGTTGAAATCGCGCGACGAACAAAACTCAATGTCAACGAGCGAATGTTTGACACCGAACAAAACACGACATGATTGATGTAGAAAATCAACAGGCCGTCGCAATTGCAGACGAGGCAAAAAAAGGCAACTTCGCGACTGCTGGATGAAGTCCACTCCGTATTTATAGCAGTTATCGCGCAGCGATATCGGTCACTAATTCGCGATAATCTCGTTAAAATATTTTTTTCCCGCGCGCGCGCGTGCAACTGCGCGTTTCGATGTGTGTACAAAACATTAATCTAAAACAAAATAAAGCGTCGCTAATTTGTTTATGTAAATTTAAATAAAACGACGTTATATAAACTTACATTATCAACGTTAATTATAAATTCACATTTGCAAATCAGCACATTTGTATATCGATTGAAAACGAGACAGACGACGCTTCTCGGCCATCGATGCGTGTGTACTCGGAGCTTGTGGTCCGTGTGTAAATATTGTTTAATATGTAAAAAAAAAAAAAAAAACCATTGTATTACGTAACACGGAGTTTCTACATTTTGACAACAGAGTAACGAAACATTTACGTAACATCGGCGATCGCGGGACAAAAAAATTATGACAAGTTTTTTTACTTTGTGTGTAAATTTGAGTTGCGTGACAATTTAACAATTGCTTGTGATACATGGCTTATTAAGATGCTGGATTATGAGAAAAAAAACGCTAAAAAAACTAAATGTATAAAGATAATGAAAACAATATGAGAAAAAAAACGCTAAAAAAACTAAAATGTATAAAGAAATACCCGCGCGAAATAGCGACGTTCGTTTGGAACAACGAATACCTCGTAATCGTGGAATGCGTTAATTTTTAAAACGATCGCGACAATCTTTTTATTAAAGTGAATAAGAGTCGCACAGCGACGTCCCGCGTACTGCGGCACGTATTAATTACTTGTGTAATTGTTTTCAATTGCAAGATTATATAAGAGAAAATAAGGAACACGGAAGCTTGCGGGATGGTGCGCGGAAAATACCTGCGGAGGTACGGTTTTGATTATTACAACCTCGATGTAATTGCCATTTGCATAAGCGTATTGCACGAGGAAGGGGGAGAAGAAGCACGGGTGATCATTATTCGGTAATTACGCGTGTCACGTCGAGCGTTCAGCTGCGGGAATCGGTGCAAATCTCTGTCACTTCGTTAAAGTTTTGTGGATTAAAAAAAAAAAAAAAAATGAATATACTAAGAAATTTAGACGCAAATTAAATTTAGACGCGAAGTGTTGAACGCGCCAGACACAAAGAAATTTGTTGCAAAAACTTTTCAAAAAATAAACTTGCAAAAGAAAAAGAAATAAAAAAATATGTATATTATAATTCATTAAAGCATCTCATTATGATTACGTACAGATTACCGATGACGTATCAATTTATGTAAGCAGAATAACAAGCCTAATAACGAGTCGGATCGCTATAAATTAGCGGATACCATTTAATGATGCAGCAACAAGAAAATAAGCGGTCCGTGGTTAATTAGCATTCATACAACCTTAACCCCAATTAATTATTAATATATTCACAAGATCTCAAAGGTTTTTCAAAAGGTTTTTCGGTGTACTTTCCCTTCGCACACTCACCCCCGATCAATGCCTCCAGATTACCGTGACTGGGACTCATCAGATTCCTCGGTACCGGCACGTTGGCGACCAGGCACTTGATCGCCAATCGCCACCTGCTCGCCTCCCGCAGATTATCCTCGTGTCTGTCAAAGCTGCGAAAACGCAGAGTGATAGTTGTGCGCTCACGCCTGAACGCGCCCTTCACCCGCGTCTTCTTCAAGGTGTACGCGTATATGTACAGATACGCCGAGGTGTCGAGTTCGTCGTGATGCTGATAGACCTCGGCCAGTTCCACGAGTTTCAGCTGCGACTTGGACGCGCCCGGACCGCATGCACAGCTCCCGGCGTTTCGCCGTCTGGACCGCATGCATCGGCATCCAATGATGTCGGCCAAGGCGATTGTCTCAGTTTTGGACGTGCCGTTGTGTTCCTTGTGCAAACTCAGACCCTTCTCGGTCAGTCTCACCTTGTAATACGTGTTCTTTTTGGACGTCACGTAGAAGATCTCCTCGAGAACTGCGCTGCCACTGCCTTGAACGTCCTCCATGGTGCGACGATGCTTCGTCTCTACCATTTGGAGAATCGGTCGCGTATTAAAAAACACGGTGATCGAGAAATTCGCAGTCGATTTACTTCCGCGTGCGAAACTCGCTCGCCTTGCATGAGACCGTTAAAGTACAGTCAAAGCGATCTCGCGCGTTCGCACCCTGATCTCCTTTCCTCTCGCGCTATTCAACTTCAACGTCTCTCGGTGCGAGAGGAAAGCACGTAATGTAATCTGGCACAGATTACACGAGACTGTAAACAAACTTCGCCAGTCGGAGATAAACAAGCGTGCGAGTGACTTGATCTTGATGTTTTCGTTACTCATTCACAACGAAGAGTCGATGAACATCCGAGTCGGCATTCGTTATCGTTCATCGAGCGAGTCACGAGCAATTCGCTCAGTAATCATCGCCACGTGTACGACTGTTTGCAATCAGAAGCGTCTGTCCCGAAATTTTCGTTTTGTTTTTTTTTTTTTTTTGTTATTGTTTTACACTGACGAGTCTACCTGACGTCGTTCTTCGTAAAAATTCACACAGGCGTGCAACGAACCGCGCGCCCGGATCCGTTTCGTCTGGCCGCGGGATCGTGCAAAAAAAGTCCGACGTTTATCTGCTCGCTCCGAACGACTTTTATTGACACAATACAACCTTGAGCGACGTTTACTCTGAGCCGCGAACTCACGCAATGCACCGGGAGTACACAATGTAAACCAAACCAAACTGTCGAGAGGCCTATATCTATCAGGGCTGCTAACCCTGCCAGCAATGTCGGTCTCTCCCACTACGGTTACCACCTCCTGCGACGCATTGCCCGCGTCTTACCCCTCGGCATGAGCTGTTCCATTCCACGGACGGGGGAAGATATGTGCAAACTGAACTGATAAACCTGGCTAGATAACTAGTCTTGCTAGATTTTCCGGATTGTTTTTGCAGAACTCGCGCACGCGTTGCAAGCGACAAATATTTCACATCTCCCCGTTGAACAAATATTTCTCTGTAAAACCTGTAAACTTTCTCATGAGAATTCTCATTCCTCTCTTTGATTTTACAAAGGTAGAATCAAAATTACATTAATTAACATGCTATGTTCTGTATATATTTTATGTAATTATTTTTCTAGTTAAAATATTTCGATCCATTTGCACAATTCTCACCTTGCAGTTAATGTACGTTTTGTTGTTGCATCGTCGAGTGTCCAAAAAAATCTCTCGCGGTTCGAAATTACGAGCCAATTTTGTTATTTAAAATATTGTTTAAGTCAACTTGGGTGAGCTAACGCGCAAGCTCGCTACAAAAATCACATCATACACGGAACAGAACCGAACAGATTCGCGGACACGTAACTGAGCCGAAATGAAACATTTTTATTCATCGGATTGGTTGTGTAGTTCACATGCGTGGAAACGTGGACATCGCGGCGCTCGAAACGCGAACACACAAAATGCACCAATGGCCGAGTTTCCTCGAATTCAGAAAGAAGACTGAGGTCCGAATTCATAGTTGTTTCTCAAACTAGCTGTCATAATATATTATAATAGATAATATATAATAATAATAATATATTAAATAACATATATTATACATATAATTTATATTATATATTTATTATGTTATACTTTATATTATATATTATATATATTATATACATACTACCGTAAGGTCACTGACCTCAGTCGCGTGGCCTTGGCGGGTCACTGACCTCGGCCGCGCGGCCTTGGTGGGGAGAGGTCACTGACCTCGGTCACGCGACCGCGGCGGGATCAATGACCTCGGTCACGCGACTGCAGTGCAGAGATGCCAGTTCGTGGACTTAGTAAGCATTCAGCATCAAGTGGAGGGGATACGCACACAGGCGACAGCCGTGTCCGTGTGGTTGGCCAACCATTGGCCGAAGCGCCGAGCGCACACGGACACGGTTGTCGCCTGTGTGCGTATCCCCTCCACTTGATGCTGAATGCTTACTAAGTCCACGAACTGGCATCTCTGCTGCAGTGGAGTCACTGACCTCGGCCGCGCGACCGCGGCGTATGAAAGCATCTGGCTGCCTTTAAGCCTATGTCACACTACGAATTAGGATTGAGATTGGATTGCAATTTGGCCAATTAGAGCAAAGATCACTAAACTTAGGATTGGTTTTCTTTCTTCTGATTGGTCAAATTTCAATCCAATCTCAATCCCAATCCGTAGTGTGTCATAGGCTTTACATGCGGCGTAATTTGCGTAAAGGCCATTCTACATAAAACGCAGACGCAGATCGCACGCCGTTGATCTCGAGGAATTGACCAATCACGTAAGTCGATACGCTGATTTGACAAACGTGAATAATCAATTTCGCAAGATTAGCGTGATGCAACCTGCCTTTAAGCCTGTTCCACATTGATCGCAAGCGCAAACGCAAGAAACAGGTCTGGTAGAATTGACTAATTGTATTGATCAAATCAGCCAATTGACCAGCGTGATTGGTCAATTCTACGAGATCTATACTTTGAGTTTGCGCTTGCGATCAATGTAAAACGGGCTTTAGGGCGCGTTGGGGCGAATAGAAGCATGTTGGGGCATGCGACGCGAACAAACCTTTGATTAAAGGCCGAAGCACAGACTTTTTCATAATTTGTTCGACACGGCGAATCGACCAATGCGATCATTGCGGTCATTGCGGGTGCGGCTTACGTGAGCATTGCAAGCGGAACCTACTATTTGTTATCCAAGGTCTGGAAAAATACTGTTTACTGGAATTCGACTCTGAGACTGCGCATGCGACACATCGTGCTTCCTGCATCCCGTCCTTCACAGCCTTTTAGTTGCGCTTTTGCAAGTATTTTCCTTTCTTACTGCTTTTACACGCACTTATTACAAGTAAGTACGTACTNTACTTTGTTACTCCAGTTGGAGAAATCAACCATTCAACCGTTTACGGTGAACATACCAAGAAAATCACTATTCAAGCTTAGAATGGCGTATGGACTATCTTGAGTCGGTCCTTTGAGCCACATATGCACCAAACCAAACCTACTGTTTACTGCTTCTTCGATTATATATTTCTCAGGACAACAAGTGGTAACAAAAGTATCCTCTCGTATTTTATTGCTTTATCGCGCACACTATACTTATTAGCTTTCTTGCTACAAGCTCAACATTCTAGAAACGACGACGTTTCGAAAAATTATATCAGTAAACGTGAGATTTTGTTTCTGTTTTTGTCCGTGTTTTTTATAAACAATTGATATTGATACTCTGCGCCCGGTAAGGTGTAAACAGCCGCATTTGCGTCAAGGAGAATCGGCGCGCGCCTTTGTTATGGCGATTACGTACTTTTAGCACAAACAGCTGATTCGGCGAGTGTTTTCCCGCGTGGTGTGTGCGTGTAATGCACGTATGCGCGATTCGTGTGGCGGTGCGACGAATTAAAAAATTTCGCGAGAAGTGGTCGATTTTTCGCAGGTGTCCCCGGTACGGTCCGTTGACACGAGGAGCATTTCGTTTGAAATAAGATTCATTGACGTGTCCTAAATGACGTAATTGGTTGACGAGACGGAGAAACGGCATTCTCACGAATGTCCACGTACGTATCAGGTGCGATCAATTGCGCGCTTTGCGGTGCCCTGAGAGGGCGATGAGCACACGTTCTAAGGTCACGTTACCACCGGTGTTGATTTTGTAATGAGACTCCGCGTTTGAATACCGTCCGCCGACAACCATGGAGTCCAACAGGGGAGTCGTGTTGCTGTTGTTCCTGGCGTTTTTCCTGTCGTGCACCGCGGAATTGGGCAGCGGCGCGAAAAAGCGCGGTGACATCACGCAGAAGTCAAACTCCAACGAGGAAACCGAAAAAGAGGAGGACATCACCGTCGAAGAGATCGAGAATACGTTTGAGCAGCTGCGCGAACTCGGTGCTCTGCACGATACGATACTGAAGCTTGCGATTGCTGATCCGATTCACGAGAAGATCGGCAAGCAGATCAGCAAGAAGGATGGTGCCGAGAGCAAGACGGAGACCACCAGCAAAGAGACTTTGGACAACTCAGCGGTGAAGAATGTGTGGTCCATGATAAGCCAAGCGAAAGACATAGAGCCTCTGGATATCAGAGGAAGGCATTTGGATGAGGAAGATATAGAATCCTGGGATGAGGATGTGTATGAATTGGAGGAGGAGATTCAAGAACCATTGTCACCTGAAGAGCAAGCAGGTAAAGTGGGAAATGTTTTACCAGGAGAAATTTGATTTTTCTAAGATCTCTTCAAAATAACCTTGTTTTTCAGCTGAGCAACTATACAAGAATGCGCAAACCATTTTGGGTGCAATGCGCGCTAACAAGTCCGAGGGCTACCAGTTGCTTATCGAGGCGGCAAAGTTGGGTCACCGAGAAGCCAGATCTATGTTGGCTTGGGCGAGATTACTCGGAAGTCGCTTGGGTTCTACTACCTTGAGAGTATCTGTTGATAATATTCCCAGTATATTTGAGACGTTCAAGGAGCTTGCTGATACTGGACTCCCATCTGCTCACATGGTACATATATGCAATATGAAAGTAATTAAGTAACTGAGATTTCTTAGAAGTTTGTAAATTTAATGATATATTTGTGTACAGGGACTTGGATTCTTGTATGCTACTGGTATTGGCGGCGTTAACGCATCTCAAGCAAAGGCATTACTCCACTACACTGTGGCTGCTCTGGGCGGAGACACGCGGGCGCAGATGGTCATGGGTTATCGGAATTGGGCGGGTGTAACGACGCCTACTTCGTGCGAGCGAGCACTGGACTTCTATCGAAAAGTCGCGAAGAAAGTCGCGGAGGAAGTATCGCTGAGCGGCGGTCCGGTCGTGCAGCGAGTGCGATTGTTGGACGAACACGAGAATCCGGGTTACAGTTCCGGGATCTTCGATCAGGATTTGATAGAGTACTACCAGTTGTTGGCTAAGAAGGGCGATACTCAGGCGCAAGTCGGTCTCGGTCAGCTTCATTATCAGGGTGGTAGAGGAGTGCCTTTGGATCACGAAAGAGCTGTGCAGTACTTCCAACAAGCTGCCGACGCCGGCAATCCAGTAGCGATGGCTTTCCTCGGAAAGGTATAAACTCATGTGGAAAATGCGCTTGTATAGTTAAACAAAATAAAATTTCTATACAAAATTAACTATCTTGATACTGTTGAGTTGAATATTTGTTTATTACATTCTGAAATAATTTTTACAGATCTATTTGGAAGGAAGCGAAATTATCAAGCAAGACAACGAAACAGCATACAAATTTTTCAAAAAAGCCGCCGAACTGGGCAATCCAGTTGGCCAAAGCGGATTGGGTCTCATGTATCTGTATGGAATGGGAGTAAAGAGAAACACTAATAAGGCGTTGGCGTACTTCACTCAAGCAGCAGAGCAAGGCTGGGTTGATGGACAGTTGCAATTAGGCAATATGTACTTCAGTAAGTATTTGTGTTTACTTATAGTTTCATGTTGTGGAGAGTTAACATGCGATTGTTCACTTCTGATTTATGAATAATGTACAAATTTATTTTTGTTCAGGTGGTATAGGCGTGAAACGAGATTACAAAATGGCAAACAAGTTTTTCAATTTAGCCAGTCAATCTGGTCATGTGTTGGCTTACTATAATCTCGCACAGATGCACGCCACTGGTACCGGACTGATGAGAAGTTGTCCGACAGCTGTGGAATTGATGAAAAACGTCGCCGAACGAGGAAAATGGAGCGACCAGTTGATGGTGGCGCATAACGATTACCGAGAAGGCAGAATAAACGAGGCGTTCTTAAATTACGCTCTTTTCTCCGAGATGGGTTACGAGGTCGCGCAGAGTAACGCGGCATTTATCTTAGACAGAGGAGAGACTGACGTTTTGTCGGAAGAGGAAGGCTTGATCAGAGCTCTGGCGTTGTGGGCGCGTGCTGCCGCGCAAGGATATTCCGCGGCTCAGGTATATAAATTGAGATATTTTAGTTTTTGATTGAACTCTGAACATTTCGCGCTGTGAATGTGAGTTTTGCTTCGTTTCAGGTTAAACTCGGTGACGCGCATTACTACGGCAGAGGAACGAAGATCGATTACGAGGCCGCCGCGAGTCACTACCGTTCAGCTTCCGATCAGGAACAGAACGCCCAAGCTATGTTTAATTTAGGATACATGCACGAGCGTGGTTTGGGCCTGGCCAAGGATCGTCACCTGGCCAAACGGTGCTACGATCTGGCCGCGGCGTCCAGTCCGGACGCACGAATACCCGTAGCGCTGGCTCTGATAAAGCTCTCCTTCCTCTTCGGTCTGGATTACATACAAGAATTCAGTTTAGTCGATCAGTTGGACAAGTGGGATCAACTGCTCGGACAAAACTGGGATTTGTATCTTATCGGATTTCTCACAGGAATGCTTAGTCTTATTGTATACTTCCGCAGACCACAGCCACCTCCCCCACCGAGACCTCCTGTTAACTAAATTTAAATTTTGTACTTTCGATTCAACTCTATTGCGTATATATATATATATACATATATATATATATATATATATA